GCATTGTAAATAATAAATAAAGGCTTGCATAAATAATTAGCACAACTTTTAAAGAATAATGGTGGTAGTAAGTCAGGACCGGGCCCTTTGTTACAGTCTAGTTTCGATAGGGAATTGAAAATCTCCTTCTCGGTTAATAGCAACAACATCATTAATAGCAAGTAAAAAGAGAATTACACTGAGTACTGACCCTTGGGGCAGGCCGTTTTCGATTGTAACAGAATCAGATAGTATATCATTTATCCTTACTTTAATAGTTCTATTAGAGAGAAAATTTTTAACAAACGCTAGGGTGTTACCTTTTATGTCAATATCATTTAGTAACTTTAGGACTCTGTGTTTCCACACCATTTCATATGCTTTTTCTATATCCAGAGCTACAATCACAGAATAATGTTTATTTGCTATACTATCGAGTATCTCACTCTCAATATTCATTAAATGGTCGATTGATGATCTAAATTGACGAAAACCGTACTGAAATTGTGATAAATAATTGTTTGATTCTACATACCATCTGATTCTTTTACTGATAATTTTTTCAAAAATTTTGCATAGGTTACATGTTAAGGAAATAGGTCTATAACTTGTTTTTAAGCTTGATATTTTACCGGGTTTTAGTATTGGGATTACTAATGCTTCTCTCCAACTATCAGGAAATACCTGATTTTCCCACATGTAGTTATACATTTGGAGTAAGTATTCAAGTCCACTATTTGGTAAGTGTTTAATTATAATATTTGGGATATTATCCGGACCAGGACTTGAATTACCTAATTGGGAAAGTACCAGTAATAATTCATGCATGCATATTTTCTTATTGACTGGATTTGAATTATCATTTAAATCAAAGTTCATGTTGGTCTCCTGGTTTGTTTTAAAATCTTTAAATCCGTTGTTGTAGTTATCTGAGTTCGAATTTCTTGCAAACGTGTTCGCTAGTAACTGGGATATTTCCGTAGCGTCTGTAGTATATAATCCATCAGACTTTTCGAGTATGATATTATCAATTCTAGCGGTACGATGATTAAGTTTTTGTATCTTTTTCCACATATCACCAATAGGTGTCTTATTACTAATCGATGACACCCAATTTCGCCAATATTGTTTTCTGTTTTCTTTAAGTAGTCTTCTAAAGTATGCTCTCTTTTTCTTATAATCTATTTTATATTTTGAATACGGATCGTTGCTGGCGTGTTTTTTAAATAGTTTCAGTGCTTTTTTGGTATCTTTCATTGCAATTTTACACTCCTCATTCCACCACGGTAAATTATTATTTTTTATCCTACCTGATGTTTTGGGAATTGACTTCTTGGCTGCTTCAATGATGATTTCTGTAAATTTTTCGATTATAGTGTTGATCGAATTTTCAGATACGTTTTTAATTGGAATCAGATTGTGAATATTTTGTTCAAATTCATCTTTAAACATTGGCCAATTAGCTTTATCAACTTTCCATTTTTTTGGTAATATTATACTCTTTGAGATATCAGAAGAAAATTGAGATGTTATAGAAATTGGGTAATGGTCACTGTCATATAATTCGTCTAAGGCGTTCCATTCAAAATATGACGTTATATTTTGTGAAGCCAAAGTTAAATCTATATTACTTGTGCGACCAGTATTGCTATCAAAATGTGTGGGTTGGCCAGTATTTAATAACATTATATCAGAATGTTCATCAAGCCACTCAGCTATACTATTACCCCTAGTGTCACATTTTTCTGAACCCCAATAAAAATGATGGCTATTAAAATCTCCTAAAATTATGAACGGCGGTGGTAGTTGAGTAATCAATTGATTGAATTCATTTAGATTAAGTGTATTACTATTAGGTAGATAAACATTACATATTGTAATAGTTAAGGGATATTTAATTTTAATTGCTACTGCCTCAAGATTCGTATTCAATATTATTTGTTCGGAAATTGTGTGAGATTTTATAAATATAGCTACTCCTCCGCTAGCCCTATTACTATGCACTCGATTTTTGAAGAAGTGTTCATAACCCCTCAGCCGAGCACAATACTTGGCACTAAAATTAGTTTCCTGTAAACAAATGCAAGTGGGACATAATCGTTTAGTTAAAATTTTGATATTTTCTAGTCGCTTAAAATAACCATTAACATTCCATTGCAGAATATCCATATTTATACACTATAAAATAATTGGTTTTTATTTAACTTATTTATCTGTCTCTGATGTGACAATAGAATTGTGGTTTAATAATTCATGTAGCTTTCTAGATAATCGTGAACATCTATTTTTCAAACTTTTGTTCATTTTACTGTGAAGTGTATTACACATTATAATAAGATCTTTAATATTTTCTGTGTATGAATAAACTAGTTCTTTTATATTTTGTTTTCCTCTTGAATTATCTAGTAAACTAATAAATTGGTCTAAACTAATAGGTAATATTTCTTCGTTACTTAATTCTGTTATACTGTCTCTTATTTCATTCCAAACTTCTTCTTCTGTCCTAGGGTCGATTTTCTTTAATTTCTTTTTAGTTTTAATCTTTATTTCCATGTCATCTTGTGATACATTACTACTGGATTCATCAGTGTCGATATCGAGTGATACATGATGGTCTTTTTGTGCACACTGTTTTATTACTTCTACGTTTGATGAGTTACTGGTGGTCGGTGAATGAAGTCGCTTCTTTCCTTTTAAATTTGTTTGAGACGGTGTTATGAATTCGTATGTGTTCTGGATATTAATTACTGGTTCTGTTATTATAGTGTCATCATTTCTTTCAAAAATTTTTTTTATTTCTTGTGTTGTTTGGCTTTCTGATTGTTGTTGGTAGGATTGGGAAGTTGTGGTATTTTGTGGACAATTTTTAGATAAATGACCCTCAGTATTGCATGTAAAACATTTTAAGGCATCAGTTGATACGTAAATCCAGTAATTTGTCCCTTCAAATGTCAATTGGAATGATTCTGGTAGACGTGTATTATCTTCTGGGCTAACATATAACTGTCTTCTAAAACTTAATATATGAGAAAAACCTGGATCTGTCACTCCTATTTTCATGAATGTTATAGGGGACATTATTTGTATATTTAATTCATGAAATTTTTGTTCGATCACATAATTGGGAATCACGGGACATACGTTTGATAAAACAATTCTTTTATTTCTAGTAATCAATGGTTTTATTTCTAGTATGTGTTCTTTAATATTAATCTTTTTATTTTCGTCTAACAATTTATCTGCAGTCTTTTTAGTGTCAAGGTATATACAAATACGTGCATTGGAAATACGAGATATAAATCGAATACAAGTCGCTGGTATAATTGATGATAAAGCAATAATGTACTCCCTGAGTGTTATTCCATCAATCGAATCCAATACGATGGCCTGATCTTTCTTGGGAAAACATGTTGATGACGTCACGCTAGCGTAGCTTGAAGTAGGTTTATGTTGATAGTTTATAGTTGATTGTGACATTGGGGGGTTTTGAGACGCTGGGATTGGATACATTTTGTTTTAAAGGGGCTCCTGTTTCCAGGAGTTGCCCTGTTTAAGTAAAATTAATATTCACTAAGTACGAATATAAAACACGACAACAACAGGTAAAAAGGAGAATGGACGCGCGTCCGTCGTGACTACCCGCGCTGAACTGATTATATTATTGTTTTATACACGCACTAAATAATGTGTCAAAGTCATGGTAATGTGTGTAATGTTGTCTTTATTACACGACTGCTGAGTGTATTATGTTTAGGGTATGTGAGTGTCTTTATTCCACAATAACTTTTGAAAGACGGAAGGGTATTGGTAAGAAATTCTACACGCAGAAAAATACAATCATACTTATTACAGCTAGTGTTTGTTAGTGATAAATTACAAAAAATAAGAAATTGATAGGAAAAGGAAGGAAGGCAGGGATGACTAGATTATTCTTATACGAGGGAAAGCATAAACAAATAAAATTATGTAGTAATTATAGTAACGAAGTCTGTGTCGTACAATTATGTACATATTATACGTATAATTTTAATCATCACTATTAACACCTATTTGATATTAAAAATATTTTATTAATATAAACATAACAGAGGTGATCGCTCCTCTATCAGGAGGCGAAACTAGGACTTTTACATACATAGATACTAATTACATAGATTCTATGACACTAATTTAGTTCTTAAGGAAATTATGCGATCTTAGATAAATGAGCTCATCATAGTCTTGTTTTCTAGATAAAATTTAAAGCTGACTGGATAATATTAATTTTGTTTCTGTTATAGTTAGGAATATTATTAAAAAACATTTAACTCGTGCATAGTTTTCTTGATTGTTGTCATATTTCCTGTTTTAAATATAACTGTATCATAAGCATTTAAATTATCGTATTTCATATCATTATTATCCTTGAATGCTTATAGGGTAACTATTAGAAATATTCGCTTTCTATTTAAATTAATACAATTTTCAAAGTTAACGATATCAAATATAAAACTAGTCAAGTTTTGTATATTAAGTATATAATTACCATTATTGCGGAAAACATTTCGAATTAGGTAAAAGATTTGATTCATAAAACAATAATGCCAGTAAAATACATAAGCTTGTAATAGTCACAAGCTGAGGAAATAGGATATCATGAGTCATAAGATTATTACGTAATCAGAGGTTTCTGATAAACAAACTTAAAAAAATAAAACTATTTTTTCGATAAAATTGTTCTTTTTTAGTAAAAAACTGGTTTATTTATGGGTATTCTATAAAAAATATTTATGGGTATTCTGACTTATAAAACCCTTTGCTATTTATTTTCCACTAAAGTTGAATGACTTATCATTCTACATTGTATCCCGCCGAATATTCTATAATTGTATCGAACAGAAATAAATTCAATAAAAAAGGCAAGTAACTCGACGTTTTTGTTGTTAACTCGATTTAATACAATTTCCTTGCAACGTTTCCTGCGTGCGAGAATTTGTAAGATCTATTAATAACAATAGAAATTGTTATTCGGTCTATTATTAATTATGTTATTTGGTAGGTCAGTCCTCTATATTTTTGTAAATTTTCATACAAATCTTCAAAGACGATATCTAAATTGTGGTAGTAATTGAAAGAAATATGTTAGTTAGAAAATTAATTTATTTTTTTTACATTTTTCTTATTCACTAATTCTTAGGTTCGTCAGGTTCACTTTTCACCAGCCATGGACCAAAGGAGAGGAATGGAGGTAGGAGGAATGCGCGAGAGGTGCGGCATAAACACTGTGTGCTACGGGGGCGACAACTGAATGTGACACCACAGCGGGGCTGGTGCGCACATCCACACGTGACTGGTGGGACACGGCAGAGGGTGCTACAGCCAGGACTGGGGCGGCGTGGGCTACTACTGGCGCGGCGTGAGCGACCACAGGGGCGGCCACAGAGTGAGCAACCACAGCGGGGCTAGTGCGTACATCCACGCGGGACTGGTGGGAGACGGCGGAAGGTGCAACGGCGAGGACGGGGGCGGCGTGAGCGACCAAAGGAGCACTGTAGGCGAGGTGACCCAATGAGCGCTTCTTCAGCAGGTGTCCGAGTCCGTGTCCGAGTCCGAGTCCGTGTCCGAGTCCATGGACACCATGACCGAGGACGGGTGCGGCGTAGGCGGAGTGCGCGACAACGGGGGCAGCGTGAGCGACCACAGGGGCGACCACTGAGTGGGATACAACAGCGGGGCTGGTGCGCACATCCACACGCGATTGGTGAGACACGGCGGCGGCGGGAGCGGCGACCACGGCGGGGGCGGCTACCACGGAGTGAGCGAGGGGAGCGGCGACTACGGAGTGTGCGAGGGGAGCGGCGACCACGGAGTGTGCGAGAGGAGCATAGTGTCCTTCCAGGGCCTTAGCTTGGAGGTGGACGGCACGGGCGCCGATCACCTCAGCGGTGTCAAGTGGGCGACCGTGGGGGTCCAACACTATAGCGGGGTGGTGGGCAGGTTGAGCCAGCGGCACTAGGGAACCGCAGGCAGCCGCCACCAAAGCGAACAACACCACCATCGATTTCATTATGAACGTGGTCTGTGTTTCTCAGACGAACAAGATCACTTCGAACCGCACACGGTCGACTGATAAAATTGTACTGCATTCCCTCATATTTATACTGACCGGACATGATTAAAAGGTAACACGAATTCAACACGTAATAATATCTGTTAGAACAATGTCAGTTGTCAATAAAATGTATGACCTCGACGGATATGTGGCGGTCATAATGAAAGAATTTCGTGGCCGTAATATGTAGTGCGCAACCGCGGTCATTTTTGATGCATTCGATAAGAGATAACATCACTTCGCGGTTTCTTCTTTATCGAATAATCTGTTGTTGAACTTAACCGTTTATTTTTTATTGAATGTAAACATAGTGATTTTTTTTCTTGGAAAGCTTATGTAGAGCTTCTAAAAATTTAAATGATTTCTTTACTTATACAACCTTATTATAATAAATCAGTTGCTTCCCGTAATGGAGCTTATCGAATGATGCAACTGAAAGCTCTAACTGTAATTGCATCGAAAACTATGACTTTCATATTGTTCTGTCAACGTTTACATAAGAAACAGATATTTAATGTATTTTTATGTTGTAGATAGAACAAACACAAATTCATTGTAATCAGCTAATCCTCAGATCACACTGACGTATAATTATATCTAAACTTTAAAACGAGCTACAAGGTTTTTATAAAATTGACTTATTGTACGTCGATGGCTTTCTAAAAGTGAAGTCTTATATTAATAAAAGTTACGATTGGAAACGTTGATTTTATTTTAAGAAAATAGAAAACGAAAGATGACAAACTTTGAAAAAACATATTTCCAAAAATAATTAATCGAGGATAAAGATGTTTCAATAAATTTTAACCTATTTAAAAACAAACGTACTCTTTCATACTTAATTTATAATTTTCTTGTTTTTTTTTTCTTATAATGGATTAACTCAAAATTTTAGTGTTATTTTATGAGCTAAGTGCAGTGTCTGCTTCGATTTACTCCAATGCTATACCTTGTTTATTAATAGCACTGATAGAGTCGAGTACGCCGTTCTCAGCTTCAAAGGTTCAATCATATAAAAACTACTATGAAATTATACTAAAGCTTATAAAGAATACCAAAACTGAATTGATTTGAAAAAAAATTACCAATATAAGGAGTGGGTAATATACTATATTTTATCATTTTATTATATACTAGCTTTTGCCCGCAACTTCGTCCGCGTGGTATAGTTACCGTGAGCAGCATATATTATCCAAAAACGCTGTTGTTTTTCGCGCTGATGATGACATTACTTTGATGTTTAAGTTTGAAGATACTATTACAAAAAAAAACAACAAAAATCCAATATGTTTCAACACTTTATCTTTGAAAACTTTAGAGATATTAATCCAATCCAATTTGAAATACAGAAAGAAAAAACAGTTCTGAAGTTTACAAAAAATTTAATCGAAATTCTTCAGCGCAGACTACTTTAGGAAAACGCCATCTAGTATTACTATGTTAATTCTAGGAATTCATGAATAGAAAAATTGTCTCTTAACTCAAAACCATTAAAAAACATATCATATCAAAAACATATCAAAACGTTAACGTGATTTTTACAATAAATAAATCCATATTTATATTCTAATAAAAAATATTTCATTTTCCGAGTCACATAATCGCGTAGTAGATAAGCGCCGAGGCCCGCGGTCGTTGTAGTTAAGCAACTTTCGAAAAGGTGAGTCACGGGATGGGTGACCAAAATATTAGTATCTCGAGCTACTCCGTGCTTCGAAAGGCCCATGAAGATCGGAAGCAATTGCTTCCGGTCTTTATGTGCCTTACGACTGCAATTGTAGTCGTTAATACCCTCCAATCTGCATTGGGCCAGTGTGGAAGGTCATGGCCCATTCTCCTTACCACCATCTATAACGAAGGCCTGCGCCCTTGCAGTAGGAAGTTAAAAGGGCTGATGATGATGAATAATATTTCTATTAACAGTACAACATATATTTAAAAAAAAAACGTCTTATTCCGTTATATATGTCGTGGCCATATCGTCGAAAAATGATTATATCGTCCGGCAGGCCATTTGATCATATAATTTAAGCGTCAACGTTAAATGATATGTCAATCCACGTTTGGTTGTATCATTAATGTAGGATGTCCAAAAATTTATCTATTTATTTGCTGAAATAACTTGTGTATTCGTTAGAAGAGTTATGATTTGTGATCTGAAAAAACAACAACCTTAAAATTTAATATGATCGCTACGCTACGCTTCCAATCCCATTTTTATAATATCTAATAATATATTCTATTCTAATCTATATATATAATATTCCAATCCAGTCTCATAACCTGCGACATTTACATAAAATAGCCTTTGCTGCTGCACTTTCGCACTGCACTCTAATTTCTTTAATTTGTTGTATTCTGTTGGATTCTATCATCCGCCTATATCGTTAAACGCAAATCATTCATTGATCTGCTCAGCCACATCATGATGTGGACAGCAAAATTTCATGAAATACAAACATTTCATAAAATGGTTGGCAGCATCATGAACTTGGAAACCTGTACTAAGGTGCTTACATAATATTAATGAACAAATGTATTTGTGAAAATTATCAACTTGATTTTCTTTAATCTAAACTTGGAGCAACATTTTAATGTTTTTTAATTTAAAGCCTGCGCAAACTTCTTGCATCAAAATAATAGCACGATTTAGAATATACTCGCCATCAGCTGGCTGAAAAGTTATTCTAGGCAAATTTTCTAGGCAAAAAAATCTGCGATTTAGAATTCATTATATATTATATATTTTATATATATAATAATATTTTTTTCTTTCGTAAACAAAATTACTTGAATTTGAATATTTTTATCCATTAAAATTTCAAAAATGTAATAATACTCAATACCAATTTTCAATCGCTATACAATAAAACATTTTGTAAATAATATTAGGTAAATTTATTACAATGACAAATCAGATTGTAAACAATGGTTGCTATGGTAACAGTTTGATTCCCCATAAATCTTTCACTCCCATTTTTATCCCTTTAAGTGCTAGTTTTCGGGATAAAATATAACGTAATACCTTCCTAAGGTTATAAACTACCCAAATACAAATTTTCATTGATATAGGTCCATAAACAAAGAAGTTTCATACAAACTTTTTCACCCTTTTTGACCCCCTTCGGGATGGAATTTCCAAAAATCCGTTCTTAGTACACCTCTACGTATTAAGGGGAATGTTCCCTCCAAATTTCAAGTTTCTACGACCAGCGGTTTAGGCTGTGCGTTGTCTGTCAGTCAGTAAGTCAGGACATCTCCTTTTATATATGTATAGATTAATTTTATTTAAAAACGATCTACGATGTCAGTTAGAGGGATATACTTCATCGAAATCAATTCATTAACCTAAGTATCTCACTGCACACAAATTACGTAAATTATTCATAAATTATATCGCGAAATATACAAAAAGAAAACAGATCTTTTCCACATTTTAAAATGGCTAAGAAAAACATGAAATGTAATCAGTAACATGTTTGAATTATTAATCGTTCGCTGCATGAACTGCTAAGAGTCTACAAGTTTAATTTAATACGGTCAATTTAATACCGGCATCGAATAATAATTTGTCTAGGAATTTGTCGAAACGTCCTTGCAATCCTCCTGCGCCCGACAAGGTTAAATATAGAGGTGGTAATAATCTAAAACTATTCTTAAATGCTCAGACAATATGACGTGAATTGCTTGAACTTATAATGTCTTCGTGTGCGTACGCGCAGGCCCACGAAGAAAGGTATTGGCTATTGAAGTGTGTTGTTTGCGACCGCGAGAATACGGAATTATACGATTACTAATACTTTAGTTCCGTAATACTGGTTAAACTTATGTTTCAATAAGAATAGACGGAAAATGTTTCACACATTTTAATGCTAAGTAGTAAATTATTTTTTTTAAATATTAAATAAATTAATAAATATTTAACAACATCACATACATTGCTTAGATTCCAAGATGAGTAGCTAAAGCCCCCGTATTATGGAGTATCTGAGACAACGAAGGTACCACAACACCCAGACCCGAGTCAATATAGAAAAGTTCCTTTTTTACATTGACCCGACCGGGAATCGAACCCGGGACCTCAGAGATGGCGACACCTTGAAACCGGCGTGCGAACCACTCTGCTACGGATGTCGCTAATTAAATATATGTGATATGTAATATTTTCGTTACACTTTTTAATATATTTATGTGTGTAGTGGAGATTATTATTCCACTCTAATTCCTCTTTCTTTCTCGTTAGTGATTCGAACAGTCGGTTATTACATACTCAATACAGTAGACACTCGTATACGGATCTTACTTATACAGATTCACGATTTTCTGGATTTAAAAAATCAGTATCACAGTCTATAAATGGCCACTTATAGATAGAGCAATCATAAGGGGTGCGCGTACGCGGGGTGAAAGGGACGTGGTAGAGAGTCCAAGCTGCTTTCACTCGCTTGGGACGCGTGAGGACTGGAATATATCATTAAGTGTGTAATTAAGTTATTTTTATTATTATTACAAAGGTTACAGTAATGGTCCAAAGCTATTACATGTTTCGAGAGACTTATGTTCTCTCACATTAAGTAAATTCCTGGTATTCCCAAATACGAGTACCTAAGGAAAATGAAATAATAAAAAAGTGCCAATCGCGAATAGACAAAAGCGGTATTTAAATAGAAGTACAAAGATGCTTTCCCTTTTATGTACGCTGTGGGTTTTGTATATATTATTTACTTGTTTCATTTCAATATTTCTGTTATTCAGCAGAACATTTGTAGTTATTTTGTTATAAAAAAATTAAATTATGGGATTATGGAACCATATATGCATGCGTAAATAACCTTTCGAATATCAGAAGCATTTTAAAAATAGGTCTTCAGTTTACGAACAAATCGGCACATACTCGTCGAACATAGAATCTCTTACTTTTTAGATTGTGAATTCGGTTCAAAATATTTACATTAAATTATAATTACCAGAAATTTTACAAAATCATACATAGGAAAAATAGTACTTAAAAATATTAGT